ATAAGTTAATAGTTTGGTGAATTAATCATTTTCAGTTGACAGCTCAATCTTCCAATCTTTTCGGATGCCTTTTATATGCTGAATAATTCATGACCGGCATTACTCAATTCAAAATAAGAGAAGTCAATTAAATAGTGCGACCGGAGCTACATATAATGAAAGAAATGGAATAGCGTATCCCCATTTCCATCATATGCAGGGAACAGCGTTATGTGCCTACTTGAAATTTCAAATAACTATCATTTTTTCAGAAGAATGTCAAATGAATTTTCTGAAGAGAAAATGAACTTGAGTAAAATATTTCTTCTATTTCTTATTCGTATAAGATAAATTTTAATTCAGAAGAAAGAATTCTTATCATGAAGTTCCTGGCATGAAAATGTGAGCAAAAAATATAAGTCCAGCTTGCATGCGTCAACCAAAATGTTTTTCTTACTCTCGAGGACCATTAAATGTCTGGCGATCGAGTCGATATTCGCTCAATAGTTATTGGTTGCCTTCAAGCCTTCGAAAATCTATTATTGAATGCAATTTTTATCGACCAGCCGCATATATTACAAGATCAAATCAATTTTTATCAAATACCCGGCATAATGCAATACAAATTGTTATAACCTCCTCGTTGTCGCCGATAGTTCAGCCTAACATTTAATGTCCACCGATCTTCTCGATTATTCAATGATAATTCCCAATGTCGACATGTCTGCTCGCAAACGTTTTTTCTCTCCCGTTACGCGCCGTCAGAATGGCTGGACCAAAATTAAGCTCGTCCTCTGACTCGAAAGATTGCGCGTACCTGCCTGAACATTGTTTGGCCCAATATGCATGGACATTGCAAGTCAATCTATGCAAATTTAATCAATTTTCGACGCTAACTGAGGCTGAAGGGATTTTTCTGTCTTTGGTCGAGAGGTTCAGCACAATTTGTAGTTCGGACGTCACCTCAATATCGGTCGGTGTCTGATGACCAGCCCATCAACAAACATTGAAAAACTGATGAAGGAGATCACACGCGGCCATGCAAATCAAATTACTTTCGATACTTTGGAAAATTTGGCGGTATTTGTGTTCATTCTAAATTGCCCCAAATTTATGGCACATTAGAGCATAATTAAAGGGAAATAATTATTCTTGATACTTTAAAGCGCCATATTTTACCAATAATGGAAGAATTAGAAAGCAGCGATCTTTTTGCTGTTGAAAAAAAAGAGTTTCATGAAAAAGAACTTCAAGAAAATTGTGAACTAAACTCCCGAAGATCAAGGAACTTGGAAATTAAAGATTGAGGAAGCAATGACTGCAGAGCTAAAAGTTTTCAAAAAGCGGGAAGATGAAAGGTTTTTGTATTTTGCAAAAGGAAAACCAAACTCAAGCATAATCAAAAAGAGTTAAGTGTCATACATATAAATTTTAAATTCTATTAAAACTTCACACAAGTGTAAAAAACCTATCGCTCAAAACAAATTCTTAACTTTCGAATAGCAACAAAAACATCGCAAATTCATGCCCGAAGTGAAGAGCACCAAAAGAAAATCAAAAGTTAGAAAATTCCTTATCCGTCGTTTTCAGGAACATAGAAGAAAGTTGTGCCGAGCATCTCCGCAGGCGATTTTTGAGGAAAGTGAGGATGCAGTTCGAGGGTATTTGCTTCCTTGAATAAAAAAGAGCACAAAACAAGACCCTTGCATTAGTTTTGTTGAGCCGAGTCTTGTGGAGGCCGCATTACTAATGCTGCTTTGATGACAGCTTCTGCATGAGTCGGTGGTGGCTTAACGCTCGTTTGCTGCACCATGTCGAGCTCGCTACTCAACAATACTGGCGATTGCTGCTTGGAAATGTACTCATTTGGGTACATTTCACCCATTTGGCTATATTTTACCTATTCAGGTACATTTTACCCATTTGAGTACATTTCAACCATTTGGCTATATTTTACCCATTTGGTAATATTTTACCCATTCAGGTACATTTTACCCATTTGAGTACATTTCACCCATTTGGCTATATTTTACCCATTTGGTAATATTTTACCCATTCAGGTACATTTTACTCATTTGAGTATATTTTGCCCATTCAGGTACATTTTACCCATTTGAGTACATTTCAACCATTTGGCTATATTTGACCCATTCAGGTACATTTTACGCATTTGAGTACATTTCACCCATTTCATTTCACCCATTTCACCCATTTCGAATTTCACCCATTTGGGTGAATTTCACCCATTTGGGTACATTTTACCCATTTGGCTATACATACTCATTCAGGTACATTTTGTCCATTTGAGTACATTTCACCCATTTGGGTACATTTTATCCATTTGAATATATTTCACCCATTTGGCTATATTTTACTCAGTTGGATGCATTTTACCCATTCGAGTACATTTTACCCATTTGGCTATATTTTACCCATTTGAGTACATTTCACCCGTTTGGTTTCATTTTACCCATTGAGGTACATTTTACCCATTTGGGTGCATTTCTTCCCGTATTTTCTCGTATTAACAATTTCTTTCTTCTATCGATGTATTTTCGATCACTATTCTCTGACCGTATCGATTGTGACACCAATCAATACGTCTACAAGTAAAAACACACTAAACACCGAATGCCAGAATTCACTATTAACATCAAGTCCGCCTTCAAACATAAAATAGGATCTTTACGTTAGGCGGGAATAAACGTTCCTGCATTTAATTGAAGCAATTAAAGCGATATCTTCTACAATACTGCTTACTAAAATCTATAATTGGTCACGAGAAATATTCAGAAATTAGGATCTTTGTTGGCACTAAAATATTTTTTCGTTGTGGTGTTAAATCAGAGAACAAGTTGCAATTGACGAATGAATGAATTGCCCCCAAAATGAGCCTTGGTTGTGGAAATTATAAGTATCAATGAAGCAGCAAACTTCCATGCAATTAAAAAATATCACGTTAGATCATTGTTCAGTCGATAATTTGGAAATCGCTGATCCCACCGAGATGCTAAATTTTTGTCCGCGATTATAATTGGAAAATTAAATTTGCAACGTGGATTATGATTTAAAACAGGATTTACGAAAATTTCATTACTTCTGAGTTTTTCTGCGAATTCTCTTGTTTACAAAACGAGTAAATATGTCAAAAACTTCAACAACAAGTCGAAAAATAGGAGAGACTACGGCGAACTTTCCCACCTCCTACCAATCTTAAGAGAAATATTTTGTGTGGAGTAACACCGCAATGTTCTATAATTTGAATAATTAATAAACCAATGTGAAAAAACAGTAACGTCACTAAATGCCTTGGCCAAGCTCCAACGTTCTGTCACCAACCTTTCAAAGTAGATTTTTCGCGAGCTAAATGCCCCGCGCTTTTCAATCACCGCCGCCCGAAGTCTATTGTTGCGTCCCGAAGTTAGGTTCTGTGGACTATTTATTCTGCGCTTAGACACTCCGCCGAAAGTCATTTCGGAGGAAAACTTTGAGCCTAACTATTTGGGGGTCGGGGCGAGGCCCTCGTCACGGAAAATTTCTTGCGTGCGCCCAAGGGCAGTAAAACTAAAGTTTTCAGAGGGCAAAATAGCGCTGTCAAAATAAGAGAGAAAGGCTGACAAACGCTGCAAAAACGTTGTCGCAAAACAGGCGAAACAAATAAAGGCGTCAAAATATAGGATGGTAACGGGCAAGGCGAAACCTCAATCAATGGCAGGCAAATTTTAACAACAGTCGAGTATATGAGGCGGCTAAAAATAAAAAAAACATAAGGATGTGAAAATGTTAAAATCACGGACTGAAGTTCAACGAGTCAAAATGCCTATGTAAAAGAATCGAAGACAACGACCTTCAGAATTATCTCGTAATTCTTGGCTTAGGAAATAATACCGTAAAAAGCTGGAATATGAAGTCAGAAGCTAAATAACTACTGACACTTTCGCGCAATATTACGTAAGAAAAATTCACGAAGCATTTTTACGTTTAACACGTGAAATGAACGAACAAATTAAGTACAAATAAGCCTAATAGCCGTCAAGATATGAAAATACAGTAATAGTGTATCCATTGCAAAGTTTACTTGCGTTAAAGTTGTTAAATAATCTTGCATCGAGATGGCAACACCTGCCACTCGCAAGGTTAGACGTCTTGTTAATTAAAAATTGTTCAAGTCATGAACCATTCATCCTCAGAGCAGCGGAAATTCTGGTATCGTTTCCGTGCTGAACTTGGTAAGAAAGAAGTGGCTACAGCATCTCAGAAACGAAGAAGAGGGAATCGACAAGTTGACAGCAACAGCAATGAATAATCGAAAGGCAAATAGTCAAAGCAATTAAGACATTCATTCTATGAGAATGACAGGGAAGGGAAGTACAAAGAATCCTGCCTGCACGACTCCTCGTCTCCGCAACAGAGACCCAGAGCTTCGTGGTGGTGGGTTCAGGAACACCGCCCCCAAAGGACCTTAAAATCCCGATTGCTTCTTACCTGCCAAGACGCTTAGAAACTTCCTTGACAAGTTTCGTACACTAAAGATGACACAGAAAAAGTAGAAGACAGACGTAAGATGCGACATATGTGAATACATTGCTATGTCGGAGCCACGTAGACAAAATCTGCGTCATGATTTACCTTCGCATTTAAATTGCCAATGTCGCACATACATGATTTCCGGCGTCGCCACCATATTGTGAGAGATGTTGTGGTTGTCTTGTGGAGGTAATGGTTGTGATGATGTGGAAGTGGCAAGAATATATGGATAGTGTGATTGTCCTGCTTATTAGGGTGATAGTAAGTTGGCGTGAACGGTGGTAATTGTGTTGTTGTGGTGGGAAGGTTGTAATGGATGCTCGAGGTTGAATTAGTGACGATTTTTTTACTCCATTATGGCGGTACAATAAATCTTGACAAAACTGGAGGCAGCTTCTCGGCTGCATATAATAGAGATTTTAGCTAATAATTCTGATGAGCAAGTGTCAGCGCTGGACACAGTGCTCACTTGCTGATGCCAGCATGGTACTCACTGATGTCCATGTATTTGCGGTGCTTCTGGTCATAAGGTGGCCACTGCAAGGCACCGAATTTGTTTTTCTCGCTACCATCCGCAGCCGCGTTGTCTTCCGGTAAGAAATTTGGGTTCCTGGAAGCAAAGAAAACCTTAATGTAACATGATACTCTAACACTTAATTCTACAACCCTCACCCCAACACTCCACACACTCCTTCTCACCAGAACATTTCACACTCTTCACTCTCCCTTCAATTGCTTTTTCGGTAATATTGTATTTTGGGTATATTTTATAAATTCGATTACTAGTAGAGAAGAAATTTTGTTCGTCTGTTTTAGAAATAATGCAATAAAATTATAAAGCAAATGCAAGCTTAGAAGACAATATAAATAAGAATAATCGGTTTTAGGAACAGATTTTGTTCCAAGGTAGTCGCTAACCTCGACTCTAAGGAAGCAAAATAAAGTCACCGCATTATTCGTCTCTGCATGAGCGATCGTCGACGTCGCCGTATTCACAAGCATTGGTCTCGAGGGAGACACTACAGCAGCTTTAATTCCTTACATGCTACAAGATTACAAAAGCTCAGACAAATTAACGACACACAGCGAGTGTTTTTAAAGAAGAATAATTGTTCGCTGAGCTCTGCAAAGTCACGCCAATGCAGACCGTCACACCTGTAGCTCACACGGGCGTCTGGGGATGCAGCAATAGAGTGAGTTGAAAAGGCGCAGTGGAACCTTCATCGATCGAGGAAAAAAACTGACTATTGATAGAGCCTCCATGTACATTCAAGAAGATGTGATATCACCAATATCGATCTAGGAGAATTTGAAAGAGAATAATAGAACCTCCATTGATCGAGGTAAGCTCAGTACCAGACATAACCAGATTATACTGAGGTCAAGATTTATAATCCAAAGATTTGGGAGACTCAATGGGAGTGCTATCGATCGATTGAGTAGATTAAAAAGACCAGATGGAATCTCAGTTGCTCGAGTGTAAATGAAAAAGATTTGGATGGAATCTCAATCGATCGAGAGCCAATCAAAAACTGTTGATTGGACCAGCTTCGATGGAAGTAAAGTAGAGATGAGTCGTAGAATTTCAATCGATAAGTTCGCATCACTAATAATAACAAATAACAGGTCGGCATTGACAGAATCTAGTAGAAATGTCATTTGTCGGTTTTTAAGAACTCATAGATATATTCATATGCTATTTAACTGCGAAGCTGAGCTTCTGTGTCCAATTTATTGGTGAAAAATCCCAGGATGCATCGGGTTAATGGATGAAACTCAAGGGAATTTATTATTTTTCTTACTACTACATTGTGTTGAAAAATTAAACCTCAATTGTTAATAAAGTAGAAGGGCCTCGAGGCTTTAATAAAAATAAAATACAATTTACACTGTTTAGGCACACGGGGCGACCATTTTCCTGCACTGAAGAGGAATCCAGCGCTGTCATCAATAACAGTTAACGAATGTAAGATCAAAAGGCGAGCGTCAGTTAGAAATTGCTAGGACTACATTCGGGAACTATCTTGTTTCCTTTCCGATGATTCTGATAATATCTACGTCAGAAGACTTATATATTTATGTTTTTTTTCTCCTGAATATACGAAAAGGATTTCAAATAGAGATGTAATTAAAATAATTAAATACTTATCTTACAATTCTCTTAGTACACCAATGGTAATTAGTGTTTGACTTGATTTATATGAATTTCCATATTACTTCACATCATCACTGAAATCAGCACAACATAAAGGATAGATCGCTTTTCATAGAGGATAGATTTCTTTTTTTTTTTGAATGTTTATTTCGACACAAGCGGCACTCTAATTCTAATGAGAATCAGAATTGAGTTCCAGCTTGCGATGATAGCGAGGCAGCCGAAGTCTGCGGTCGCGGCAAAGCGTCAGCTTTAATTTTATTGCATGAGCTCCCGGCGTCGTCAGTGTCTGGAACTTTAGTCTTCATAATTAAAATAAAGTTTAGACAATTACAGAGCTGTCAAAGAGAAAAAAGTTATGCGGGATGGAGGAATTGATATTAATTTTAGGATCGCACAACCTTTGGATATTAGCCTTGATTATGAAAAATATATGGAAAAGTTATGACTCTCTTCTTAGTTATTGAAATAAAACATTATATTACACCAAAATAAATACATGCGGTAGGTGACCTTGATTCAAATAAATTCTGTTCGTCTGGAATACCCTATAGTTAAATTATTCACTACAAAAAACAAAGTAGCCAATATACTCAGATGATACATCGACAATGATCTAGAACGATCACGTTCGTGTGATAACTGGACATTTTCTGTTACAGTAATTTTACATAACTAGTGAGAAATTTAATTTTCTTTACAAGTTCTAATAAATAGATGAATGATATTTTCAACTTTGGAAATTGCCGCAACCTGATGATGCCTCACCGCATACTGGCTAAGCTGGTCCAAAAGGGACCAACTGCACTTCAAGCAAATGTAAATGAAACAACGTTTAACCAACGTCATTTCAACGTCTGGTGGAATATAAAACGCGTTACAACCTGCTGAGTCACTCCAGCTTGGCGAAGTTGGTCCAGAAGGATCAACGACAACAATATTAACAGTACCTCAGCCTGCTGACTCAAACCTGAACTAGTGGGAAGTGCATTTCCCAGTAGTTCAGGTTCAGCTCCCTCCTGTACGTGAAGGTCCGCTGCACTGCCTCTAGTTAGACTCACTCCAGCCTGGCGAAGTTAGTCAAGAAAGGACAATACTAACACCACCACAGTCGGCTGACTCACTCCAGCCTGGCAAAGTTAGTCCAGAAGGGACAATACGAACAACACCACAGTCGGCTGACTCACTCCAGCCTGGTAAAGTTAGTCCAGAAGGTACAATACGAACAACACCACAGTCGGCTGACTCACTCCAGCCTGGTAAAGTTAGTTCAGAAGGGATAATACGAACAACACCACAGTCGGCTGACTCACTCCAGCCTGGTAAAGTTAGTTCAGAAGGGACAATACGAACAGCACTACGGCCTGCTGACTCACCCCAGCCTGGCGAAGTTGGTCCAGAAGGTGAGCATGGCCCTGGATATCCTGAGCTCCGGGGCGGTGTAGTTGCTGGGGAAGAAGCTAAGCGCGGGCACTAAAGGCGCGCCCCACACGTACGCCAGCTCCTGTCCGTGCATTCCGCCCAACCTCTGTCGGGGTAAGGCAAGAAATAACAGAATTTTAAAGGTTATACCTAAAGGATAAACCTTTAAATCTCTTAGAGGTTCAAGTAAATGAATAATTAATTCGGCATACGAAGAATCATTATATAATAGGCATTGTCAAGAAATAAAAATGTTGAGTTTGGATGAAAATAAATAGAACATTAAATTTTTTTAGGAAAGTCGACTGGCAGACCATTAATAGTCACAAATTGAAGTAACAATATCACTGAACCTAGTGAAATGCTCATCTTTATTCGTTCGTTATCCACGTTTATAAATTCTCATTTTTATTTATGATACATCCAAATATTTACATGGTACACATTTGTTTGTAGCGTGCAATACTATAAGAAATTTTCCATTGACAGAAACTATTTTTAAGCACGAAAACTCGTCATAATTATTCCCTAAAATCTCTGTGAAATACGCATACAATGTCATTTTTAGATGTACGAGTGAAATTAATGAATAAATTCCTTATATTCTCATTAGTTCAATAGAATAAACCTCGTGTCATGAGGCTATTGCTGCCAGACGGTTTAAATTATTCGCTTAGAGGAGCATTTTGTTTAAGATTTTTATCGTCAGCGTGACGTTGTTAGTCAGATGAAATTCTTCCTACGTTCTTTATGATATTCATATTCACATTGAAAATTAACCTAACTCTGCTCAAAATACAATATTTATTACAGACGAATTTTAATGCTACCTGAAACTTAAATGAGATCGTTCTCAATCTTTAATACCGGAATTATTAATGTTGTTTGTGCAGCAAATTATGCACTGATCATGAAGCACACATCGAAATCTGACTTCTAGTTCATGCTAGTTGTAAAACATGCTAGTTCATCTCTTCAAGTTTGCTTTATCCTTTGTAACTATGAATAGCGCACCTCAAGATTAGAGTTCTCGATTAATCATGATCAGTGATGAATCGATAGGTGATTAACTGCTATTTTATCACTTTAACTCGCACTGGTTTACTGACAACAAACAATACGCCGCGTTGGAAAGCCTACCTCGAGACTGGGGTAGTCGAACTCGTTGTAGCGCGCCTGGGGGTCGAAGACGTTATTTATCACTTTTACTCGCACTGGTTTAACTGACAACAAAACAATACGCCGCGTTGGAAAGCCCACCTCGAGACTGGGGTTGTCGAACTCGTTGTAGCGCGTCTGGTGGTCGAAGACGTAGAAGAAGCTTTTAGTAGCGACAGACGCGTGCAGAGCTCCGATGTGCACCACCGGCGCCGTGAAGAGCGCGTCCGATAACATCGCGACGGTCTCGTCTCGAGTCGTGATCGGGTGGAAGCCTGGCCTGTCCCAGTTGGTGTATTCGTTCACTACCGTCGCCATGATCTCAGTCAGGTGGTAGCTGCAGGAGGCATCAGTGGCATTACTTATTCAAGTTGTTATTTATTGTCATGTTATAAGATATATAATATAAATAAATTGTTTACTCGGAGTGGTAGGTTGGTTGACATGAGAGTTTACACCATGGAATTGAGGGAATATAATAGATTGCTTAAAATATTCAGTGCGAGTAGCATGATGGTGTAGGAGGTAACCGTTAGGGAGTAACTGTGTAGAAGTAACGATGTGCAAATGACTGTTGAAATAGCTGTGTAGACATAATGGTACAATGATAGACCTAATCGTACGGTGATAGATGCGAGGTAAGATTTTTACAGAATTCACCCAGAAGGCGATTAAGACAATTAATTCGGACAATAAAAAAGAAAGCAAAAGGGCGTAATCTTGAATCCATGCGGTATACTCTAGATACATGAATTAATTCCCAGTACCGAGAATGCAGCGTAGTCAAGCCTACAGCGGGTCTGGCAATTACTGGCAGCGGAGGCTCATTTTTATTGGCAGGCAATAATGGAAATGAAGCGCCCGCCCGTCCTTTGTGTCCGCCCAATTAACGGCCGCCACCGCCGATCAGATCAAAGATGTGCACCTGATTAACGGGCCTCCTCTGCCTCCTCTGCCAATTGTACCAACTCTAGCAACTCCGCCAGCTCTGCCAACTCTGCCAGCTCTGCCAACTCTACCAGCTCTGCAACTACCGTCTGCCATCTCTGCCACAACCGTGTGACAACTCTGCCACTACCGTGTGCCAACTCTGCCGCTGCCAGCTCTGCAAACTCTACCAACTCTACCAACACTACCAACTCTGTCAACTCTGCCACTAACGTCTACCTCCTCTGCCAACTCTGTCAAATCTGTCAAATCTGTCAGCTCTGCCAGCTCTGCCAGCTCTTGTCAACTCTTGTCAACCCTTGTCAACTCTTGTCAACTCTTGCCAACTCTTGTCAACTCTTGTCAACTCTTGTCAACTCTTGTCAACTCTTGTCAACTCTTGTCAACTCTTGTCAACTCTTGTCAACTCTTGTCAACTCTTATCAACTCTTGTCAACTCTTGTCAACTCCTGTCAACTCTTGTCAACTCATGTCAACTCCTGTCAACTCATGTCAACTCCTGTCAACTCCTGTCAACTCCTGTCAACTCCTGTCAACTCCTGTCAACTCCTGTCAACTCCTGTCAACTCCTGCCAACTCTGCCACCTCTGTCAACTCTGTCACCTCTGCCAGCTCTGTTACCTCTGCCAGCTCTGTCACCTCTGTCAGCTCTGTCAACTCTGCCAGCTCTGTCAACTCTGTCGAGTCTGTCAACTCTGTCAACTCTGTCAACCCTGTCAACCCTGTCAACTCTGTCAACTCTGTCAACTGTGTCAACTGTGTCAACTCTGTCAACTGTGTCAACTCTGTCAACTGTGTCAGCTCTGTCAGCTCTGTCAACTGTGTCAGCTCTGTCAACTGTGTCAACTCTGTCAACTGTGTCAACTGTGTCAACTCTGTCACCTCTGTCACCTCTGTCCCCTCTGTCACCTCTGTCACCTCTGTCACCTCTGTCACCTCTGTCACCTCTGTCACCTCTGTCACCTCTGTCACCTCTGTCAACTCTGTCAACTCTGTCAACTCTACCAACTCTACCAACTCTACCAACTCTACCAACTCTGCCAACTCTGCCAACTCTATCAACTCTGCCAACTCTGTCAACTCTGTCAACTCGGTCAACTCGGTCAACTCGGTCAACTCGGTCAACTCGGTCAACTCTGCCTCCTCTGCTTAATCTGTCAGCTCTACCAGAATACATGGCTGCACTTCTCCGTGAGCCGCCTGAGTAACGAGCCTCCTCTGTAAGCTCTGTTAACTCTGTTAGCCGTCTTCGAAACAAGAAAACATTATATTATCTCCTGTATATTATCTCCTGTAATATTATCCTATTATATAATCCTCCTGTGAGATGGTGAGCTCATAACGTCAGCCATAACAACCTGAGGTCAGCCACAAAAACCTGGCGTCTGCCATAAGAAACTTACGTCAGCCAAAATAAGCTGACGTCAGCCATAAGAACCTGACGTCAACCATAAGAACCTTACGTCAGCCAGAAGAACGTGACGTTAGCCATTAAAACCTGATGGAATGGCAGCCATAAGAGCCTGACGTCAGCCATTAAAACCTCACGGCAGCCACAAGAACTTACCGGCCGTTATATGGGCTTACAACAGCCTACTGCAACAACGACAGTAAGACAATAATTATTGTAACAACAAAGAATTTTTCAGATATAAAGTATTATTAAATTAAGCGTGATAACCATCATCATTGCGAGCTTTTCTCTTTACATGATATTTTTCTGCATCGCCTTCTATGAACATTCTTTTCTGAATAAATTGACGCAAATTAAATTATGTAATATTCTTCGCTAGTTTTCTGAAGGCCTAACGCCACATCAGAAGCTTTAATCCCGGTGCGTTAAATATTCAGGAAGCGATTGCGTTCAAAGAAGAGAATAAATTTGTTGGCGAGAGCATTAGACGATTTATGAAGCTTTAAGAACTACCTACGAGGTACATTCAAGACACATGCCTTGGATTTTCTGCGTAATCAACTAACTGCACGTATAATGCGCTGAAAAAATCATGTGATTCGTGTATTTTACTTGTCCAGTTATGATGCAAAATGAATTTTCACGAAAATAAATATATTATTAGAAAATATCAATAACGTTAAGAAGGATAACATTTCGCGATTTTTTGTGCAACGGAAGTTTCACGTAAAATAGCGGTGAGCATGTATTCATTGCGCAAGTGAGGCACGCTAGATGATTGCTGAGTCATGTAGCCATCTTTCATGTCGATTTGTTATTATTTGAGAGGAAATTCAAGATTTTCTGGCCTGAAAAAATAAATCCTTAGGGTCTGGCTGCCAGAAGATAAACGGCTGCTGAAACGAATTGAAAAAATAGAAAACGAGATCGCGAACATGTCGAAAAGAGCCCAGGTAGACGCAGAGGAAATTGAAATTGAACAGACAGGAGACAGAGACAAACTAAGACAACGGATGAAAATCCAAGAAGAAACCGGACAAAAATAAAAGCTGGAATTTATTGGTCCAGGGATCGTGGAAACATCGGAAAACTTCCTGTTGTAATAACAGAATTCATTCTCTTGCACACTTACTTGTGCGTGTTGCGCATGATCTGGCCGCACTCACTTGTACGTGTTGCGGATGATCTGGCCACACTCACTTGCACGTGTTGCGGATGAAGCTACGGATGATCTGGCCACACTTACTTGTACGTGTTGCGGATAAAGTTGCGGATGATCTGGTCGCACTCACTTGTACGTGTTGCGGATGAAGCTACGGATGATCTGGCTGCACTTACTTGTACGTGTTGCGGATGAAGCCGCGTATGATCTGGCTGCACTCACTTGTACGTGTTGCGGATGAAGCCGCGTATGATCTGGCTGCACTCACTTGTACGTGTTGCGGATGAAGCTGCGGATGATCTGGTCGCACTCACTTGTACGTGTTGCGGATGAAGCTGCGGATGATTTGATTGCGCTTCTCGATGTCGAGGCCGCGGAGGTCGTCGTCGCTGAAGCTCGTGGCGGCGTCTGCAGGCGTGACCCCGAAGAGGAGGTCGTAGGGCGCAAGGCGCGCGCGGTACGACGCGGGGTTTGTGTCGAGTTCTGTGTCGATGACCACACCGTCCACCGTCGGCCCGAATGCGTAGTAATACTCGGGCACCTGCGGGGAGGTGATGGGGGGGGGTGTGTGTTACAAATGCGTAGTAATACTAGGGCACCTGCGATGAAAAGGTGGGGGTGTTACTAATGCATGGAAATACTAGGGCACCTGCGGGGAGGTGATAGGGGTGTTCGAATGCATGGAAATACTCGGGCACCTGCGATGAAGTGTTAGGGGCGTTACCGAATGCATGGAAATCCTCGGGCACCTGCGGGGTGGTCGGGGTGTTACCGAAAGAGAGTAATACTCGGGCACCTGCGGGGAGATGGCACGGGTATTCCGAATGCGTAGTAACACCAGAGGAACTGGAGGAGGTGGTCGGGGTGTTAGTTCTGGTCTTTGGCCCTGTGGGCACCAGAGGGAGGTGGTGGATATCTTAAGTGTGATACTTCCATACTCGGAGGAAGTGGTGGAGGTATTGTTAGAGATTATACAGGGTGGGGCAGAACCGATTGAGTAGTTTTGAGGCGAAATAAAAGAATAATGGAGGTACACAGAAAAAGTTCATTTTACTCGAGATTAGCATTACATACCATTTATAATAATTATGTTTTGAAAACAATATCAGGAAGATGGTGGCCGTTAGATGCAACACACTGTTGGAGTCGCTCTCGGAAGTTTCCTACAGAACGTTCACACATTTGGCGAGGTATGGCATCCGTGCAAGCTCTGCAATAATCCGTTCCCTTAGCTGTGGTAGAGTGTGAGGGCGACTTCTGAACACCCTTTCTTTTAGGTGTCCCCAAAGAAAGAAATCGCAAATGTTCAAATCAGGTGATCTTGTAGGACACTGTAAATCACCCTTCAAAGACACCAGACGTCCGGGAAACATGCGTCTCAAAACATTTAGTGACATTCGGGCTGTGTGAGCTGTAGCCCTATCCTGCTGGAACCACACGTCTCCCAATGCTTAATTTTCAACAATGTTTTCCATCCTGGGCTAGAAGAAATTTGCAACATTGCAGCATAGAATTCGGAATTCACTGTCACGGTTCCTCCCTCCTCCGAGAACGACTCCAACAGTGTGTTGCAGCTAACGGCCACCATCTTCCTGATATTGTTTTCAAAACATAAGTATTCTAAATAGTATGTTATGCTAACCTCGAGGAAAATAAACTTTCTACTTTATGTACCTCCTTTACTCATTAATTTTGTCTCAAAACTGCTCAATCGGTTCTGTCCCACCTTGTACTTCAGTAGTTTTAGGTTGTGGAGATATTAATAGTGATAAGCCATCGGTCGATTAATGTAGTATATGTTGCGTTCCATGGCATCGAACAAAACTGGAAGTATAATTTATGGAAATATTTTGTTTGTTTGTCCAGCGCAACTGTTTTTGGTGGAACGAAAAATCATTTGAAGACACGTAGAAATATTTAGGCTCTAGAGGAAAATGTTGCTGAAACAATGGCAGGCAATATTAAATGGGAAAAGCCAGAACACAGCAGCTCAGTAAACAAAAGGGGGAAAATGCCTGGAAGATCAAACGAGTAACTTTTGAAGTTCGTTGCTTGGCCAAGAAAGGAGTTAGCGATACAAATATTATTAAAGAAAAAAGTTGCTTCACTGTTGCAGGAAATGCTTATAACGTTCTGCCACAAGCTTATCATCAAAACATCAGAGACATTCTAAGTAGGTATACTAGTCTCAGGGTTACTCATTGTTTTTGAAAATTAATGAAAAATTTCATTTAAATAATAGTTAAGCATAAAGAGAAAACAGAAACTAAGAATTGTTTCTTATCACATAGCTGGCTCATATCAACGAACAGAGAAAGAGCTAACAACAAACTTTGGACCGTGTGCACGAAAAGCAACATACGTCATAATTCTACACGCGACTGGAATTTTCAAGATTTGAGTGAAGTAAATTTAACGTAGAGGCTATGTCATGCCGTATCTATGAAAGATAGACTAAACCTACCATTTTAAACATGCGTCTCAGAGATAAACGAAGCCTTTGACTTCATATCCATTATTCTAACGCGGGTGACTAGGAACAACGACCATATAATATAAATATCAGATTTGATGCTTTAGAAATAAAGATAAATTAGGCGGTATACTTTGGCAATGTCCCGAGCGTGAGTTGATGCATTGTTGAGATGGCTTGGCATTCTGTTGCTTACACGGCTGGCAAGAGTGAGCAATGAATTGCGTCTAAAGTTGCATAGTCTGGACGTTAACGTCTGGAGGAGAGCTCTACGTCACATAAAGTCTAGGCTTAGTACGAGAGACAATGGAATCCATGTGACTCTGACTGGCCTAGTCTTCCAGACTCGTCCGTCCAAATGCCCGAGCATTGGACGCGTTCACTCACAACGCGCGCCATGTTCTTGGCAGCATGTGACACGAGTATTTCAGGATTATTTAGAAGAAATTCGAGGTAACTAAATGTTTTGTACAAGACTATTTTATAAAATTATAATTTCCCAAGGTTGTGAGTTCAATATTACGATTTGCGTTTTGAGAGGCGGCAAGCGACGTGGGTTCCAAACAGTTGAGTTTGTATAAGAAAGCAAGATTCGAGTATAAATTTGAACTTATTCAAAACTCACCGACAACATTCCAAGAACTAAATAAATTTGTTATGTTAAAATCATCCATTTTTAATAGTCAGGAGTTCAGCTAGTAAAAAAAATAGTTCACCAAGACAAAAAAATTGTATAGAGCCGATATGAATGATGTTCCGATAAATAATAATTCATGTAAAGCAAAAAAGCATTAATTTGAGACGGCTCATCTTCACTACCATACTTATTGTCAAAATATTGGGAGGAGATGCCTGAACACAGATGAAATTAAATATAAGCATAAATAAATTTAAATTGAGCATAAAGGCAAAATGTCAACAACATTAATTATGCGATTTTAATGTTTAGAACGAAGAATCTGTTCGTCACACAGAAGTAAAGGTCCTCGTAGGCTCGGGTTTTAATGAACATTGATTAACTTGTACTTTAGATTTTAAGTTGATCAAGCGTTGGATATTGATCACATCAGTGAATACCGATGTGATCTGTGATCAATACGATTAATTAGTCGCCCGACTAAAAAAATACAGTCCTCAAAAAACTGCTAAGGAAATTTAAACCTAACCTCGCGGTGGAAGAATATATGACGTGAAGTGAATGGAAGAAAATGATGTGGAGTTGCATCGCTCTGGTCCCTTTCAATTGATCTTTAAGTTGGTTTCTGTCTTAAAACAATTCACAATGCAGCGTTACCACAAAACCACTAAACCTTTATTTGCACGTCGATATGTCCACAGAAAAAAATAGTATTTTACTTCAGCATTCAGGAGCAGGAAGCTCGGAAGCGATTGTCACAAAATCGCCTGTTCGCAGTATTGCAGTTCCAGAATCGATGTGTCCCCTCTCATAAAAAGAGTTCCCTCAGATATATTCGGCTAGAATCCCCTCAAACTTTCAAAGCGGTTCACCAAGAATATTTGGACGCAACATCCGCGTCTTTCTTGGTGGCGCAGCAACAGCAGCAGCAGACGCAAAATTGCAAACAAAGGAACCGAACTTCCTTCCCTGAAAAATATGGAAACTTGTACACATATTTTTTGGCAGCGTTTAAACAGGACCATTCGTCTTCATTGAGTATTTTTAGACCAAGAAGAGTTGAATAAAACCTCGTGTGTTGGCACCTCAAGGCTTTGTGTTTTGTGGGAGGTTCGTTGACTCGTCTCGTCAGCATAAGATCAGAAGAGCTCGTCGCCGTGCCGCTTCCAAATTATTGCTGGCTCCTCACAGCGAAAAAAAGCAGTTTGTAACAACTCGTTTGGCATTTACGAGCGACGCTCCATTAGATTTTATTAGCCGAAAGCTGACTAATGATGGTTACTCATAATTAGATGCGGACTTCTTTTTCTTTCTATTTTAATTTGGTGATTTTTAAGTACGAATTTTTCTGTAAGGTCAATCCAACTAAAATAATTTAACTGTAAAATTGTCGGAATTCGATTCATTTGTTAAAAGTATACATGTGTACGATAAAAATTTAATCTGGAGAGATCCAATCTAGATTTAATATTAAAAATTTCATTTGACTGAAACTCAAATTTCTTATATGTTACAGTCCGTAGCTGCAGATAAGCAGACTTAGGTTAACTATGAAGATTATAGATATATTTTGATTCAAGTTTCATTACAAAGGAACAATTGAGGTTTTTCAGTCCGCAGTGTGCGAGGTGTTAACGAAGCTCCATTAGGCATTGCTGGGCCTATGTGCGTCACTGAATGACATTATAATAACGGAAAAGTTGGAAAAGTTATTAATTATATAATCATAAGAATATTTAATCTAGTGCGCAAAACAGTAACAATAACATTTCTTCCGCTCAAGGCAGCTACAATGGAAATTTTAATGGTCTGATCTTCTATGACAATGATATGAAGAAAGCCTTTCGACCAATAAGACTATAATTATAAACTGGTAATCTGCTCTGAAATTAATCAAACTCGTTTTTGTAAATTCTTAGCACAAGTCAATTTTTGCAGGCTGTACATGAAGCCGAAGTTTCCATTATCCCATACGATTTAGTTTGCTATAAAAACGGCCTAAAGGCTTTGAGGCGAATATACAGTAAAAATTTTTTATCTACCAGATCGTGTGCAAGTTAGTGTGTTGCGAGTGCTGAGTTACCACTGCAAATGTATAGGTTGTTCGAACGTGTATCCAAAATATCTGTTGAGGAATGGAAGTTAAATTTCACGTTATGATTTAACCACGAGGGTCAGATGAACGGGGATAGTTGAAGGTTAGATTAAAGAGAAATTGGCGTTCTAATTTTGATATGTTGAGCTTTTATTACTAAAATGTAAATATTACATCATTACTTTCCTTAGGAAGCATATTTAAAAACAAAAATGAAAAAAATGTACGTAAATTTTATTCAACATTTGTATATTTTAAAAACTCGTTTTTATTTGTAATGCATTCAACTACTCGAAAGTCCACAATATTTAGTGTGATTGTTGCCAGAATCTCTTT